GGACCATTTTTGCTTTAATGTTGAATAACTCGGTGAAAAAAAATCGTACAACGCTAAAAAAAAAGCAAATTAAAGGTAAAGATTCACTCTTTCGAAAGCTGTAAACTGCATTTGCATGCGAATTTTTATTCGCGCCGTGGAACTTGTCAAAGTTCGTAAAAAATTTTGAGATTCGTCGGGTCTCCCTTTCTATCCGTGTAATTCCATGAAACATCAGTAGGATCGTTTTCTCAAGTACCGATTTGGAAAGTAGAGATTTCAAGCTGTAAAATGCTTTTTTGATCATCTCGATACGATCATTTTTGACGAAGTTACACTCTCTTGAGTTTTGTCTATTTTTGGAGGCTAGAACAGGTGATCCTTTAATTTTTTGGACCAGTGTATATATACATATATATACACATTGAGTATAAAGAATATTTTGTTTTATTTCTTAGGAAGAAATAATAATATAGTCATATATATATTTAATTTTTTTGTTTCAATTTTATTTTTTATCCTTCAATTTTGTTATTAAATATCTTTCTTATTTTCTATAAAAAAGACGCAAAATATACCTTTAAATAATGTTCAATTTGCTTGCACACATTTGCGATACTTGGATTTGTAGCATTCAAGCAACATAATCTCAACAATCTAAAATATCATACATCTTTGTGTTATGTAATACTTGTTGCTCTCTATGATAAACTGTGTTAACTACAGTAACAAATTGCGTATTATGCGTCATGTGCCACATGAATAGGATTTTAACGTATCATTATTTTGTGATTGTGCCTATTTGAGCGTTACTTCTACTAAAAACTATAGAATTATTTATTCTGCTATTTTAAAATAGTCATACGTTTTTACAGTAATTCACGCGAAATACGTAAACATGACGCTGCAATTCAAAGATAACGCGAAAACTGTTTGTGTAAATTATGTAAGTATTTTTTTCTCCCAGCGAATTTCTTACGAGCAGAGATCATATTACTATGGATCAAGCAATGTCAATTCTTGAAATTTTTGAGAAAACATTGCGGAGATCTTAAAATTAACTTATGCTCCTCATTGTAGAGATATTAAAATTATCTAAAATAATTTTGAATTTTATAAGAGTAATCAAAGTATTATTATATCATGCAAAAAGACAATTAATTAATACTTCCTATTGCATTCTCCATATGTAAATTGTGTACATTCGGCCTTCTGTTTAGAATTGGGTTACTGCAGTGTATATGACAAGTAATACTGATTACGTGACACGTTGTGCGTGATAGACGAAAGCGCACGATACGAATGAGATCATTCTTCTTCAGTTGCATTGACAATTGTAAGCATAAGTTAATTTTATATAAGTCAATTTTACGATCGACTTTTATGATCAACTTTTTTCCGAAGTTTTTCCAATTATAAATATTTATAATTCATAATTAATTTTGATAAATTTGCATAACATATAAATATAAATATATCACATATATGTGCAAAACTTTCATAACCGCAAAATTATTTTAGATATATATATATATATATATATATATATATATATAGGTATATATATATGTATACACATATATGTATATACATATATTTATTCATTTATTTATTTCAAAATTTCTTTAATTTGCTAAAGAAGTAATAAAATGGAACTTTTGCTTCGATGATTTAAATTACTTCTTTACGTATGTAATTATCAAAGTGTATATTTCAATTAAGGTCAAGTTTAGATAAGCAATTTTGTCGAAATCACGTCCTTTCAAGCCGACTGCGGAAACATCAAAAAGAACAAACATTAATCATACAATCGCGAACGTTTTAAAATGCAAGGTCATATGATGGCGCGACACGTTTGAAGTGATGTCAAAATTATAATCTTTTGGACGTGTTTTTTAATTAGCAAGATTAGACAAGAATATCTCCTGCCTATCAAATTGAGCGTTTCTTATGTGCCTATTTTTGTTGTTGTGTGTCTCATTAATTTCCGTCATATTAAATTTGGGAAATATATTCGTAAGCATATAAAAATACAGAGGATTGAAGAAGTTAATATATTAGAAATTATCATAGATTTTTTGTTATAATCAATTAATTTTACAACAAATTAACATATACGTAAGTTTCTTGTTTTCCAATTCAACATTGACGTCTAATTGGTGGTCATTTCTCACTGGGTAATACTTTTTCAAAAGATACAAATTGCGCTTTTCTTACAAGAAAGCTATTTATATCGTATCTTGTTTGTCGTAAGTAACGATAATGTTTTATCAATCATTGCAAAGACAATTCATTACTACGTAGCGAACCGCGAGGAATGACAACATACACGAGTACGCATCTACTTTATAAATCACTTTGTATGAACGTAATACACGATAATTTCATTCATTATATTTATTTTTGTACCAATTGATACACTCATAGATTCTCTGTCTTTTTTCATAAATGTATAAACACATTCGTTCTCCGCTTTATATATTCCCCCTTATTGAGTTATTTCAATATTAAACGTGCATTTTTTATAATGTCAATGAATGTGATTGGTATATGATATATCTTAGTATTATGCAAAAAAAGAATTTGTCAAGTTATTTGAATTTCCTCTTAGGAATTCCTCAAATAACACAGTTCGACAAAAAGAGACGAATATTATTTTGTCAATTTTAACATCAGATTTGTGTTCAGTAATTTAAAAATCATATTAAGATTAAATAAAATTGAAACCTATTTGGTAAATCGTTAATGATCTAATTCACAGCATTTTCGCAATAAACTCTATTTAATCATAAATAATTTATTAACCATAGCCAACACAAGAAATTCCTTTTGAAGGCTGGAAAGACAATATACATATTTAATTTTGATTGGAATAAAAGCGCAGTACGTCACACATCGTAGTTTAATAATATTATAAAATAAATAAAAATTGCTCTTTTTTGCAATTTTAATTGCAAATTTCTTAAAATTGATGAAGCAATTTAACAACCAAATTTATATTTATTGTATAAAAAGTTAAGAGAACTAGTTTTTGTAGATTTTTGAAAGATGATTAGTCTGGTGGTATTTTTATCTAACTGTATAATGAATATATTTAAAAACACATTTATCGAACATATTTTAATAAATAAATGTTGCTGCATTTTGGATTTTGATTTTGATAGGAACAGCAATAAATCGAAAAATATCTTTTTACTAGTCTCATAATTTTAATTCGTTGTTTCACAAATGCTACGAGCTGCTTAAATTATTTAAGAGCTATTATTTGGAAGCAGAAACATACCGTTTCTCTCTATCTCTTTCTACTTTTAATAAGAAGAGTCTACCTTCTTTTAGTTAACCTCTCTCTCTCTCTCTCTCTCTCTCTCTCTCTCTCTCTCTCTCTCGCCATATCTCTTTACGTTTAAAAAGCAAACTGTTTTTTCTAACCGAATTGTTTTGCTTATCTATTTGAATGACTAAATTTTAGGAATATAATTAAGTTTCTGAAGATTAAAAATAAAAATTTTGCATATGATTAAACATAAAAAAAAATGTTTTATTATTAATATATATTATAAAAAACTCGGAATATTAATAGTTTTATTAATATTCATAAAATGTTTTTAGTCGGTACTTAAAAGTTTAAACTAATTTTATAAAATGTGTATGTAATTATATAATGTAAGGTTTTCTTTTTCTAATTACATAATCAATATATTACAACGCAAATCGATATATGATCATATGATATTTTCAGAATAAAACAAAGAAATACTGAAATAAAGTGTTTTTTATAAGATATGCAATTTCTTAAACGTCTTTCAAAAATATAAAGTTATTTTTTGACAGTTGCAAAAATTTCATTTTGTTTTACGTATTAGTGTTCTGAAGTCTTTGAGCATTGAGAATTAAAGATAAAAAAGACTTAAAGAGAAGACTTTTACTGCTCGAGGACTTCTTAAATGAATAACAAAAGCATACTTATTATTCTCTTTTAAATTATGTTTGCCTTGATAAAAATTCAATTTATGTGTACGATGTATATTATACTTACAATCAGTTATTAAAAGAAAAGTTTGGAGATGGAAAACGTCTTATTTTGCAACACTTTAGATTAGTATTCTTAACTTCTTAAATACATGTCAAGATATTTAATATTAAAAACAACAAGATAAGTTAATTCTTGTAATCCGTCTACATCAGATTTATTAAAGATATGGATATGACTGGCTATTATAAAAAAAGAAAAATAACACGATAAGAGTGCTAAAGTATCAGCATGAGTGGCAAATTTAAAATCAAACAGAAAGTATAAAATTAATTTCTTCTTTCATATATTTTTCTACAATTTTACGTACAAAGGTACAGAGAAAGAAAAGCTGACTTTCGAAAATAGATTTCGAATTTTTGTATATTTGAACAAAGTATCATTGTTTATCGTGAAGGAGAAAGTTAAAAAAATTATGCCATTTGATTACTTACTCTTGTTGGCGAGAACCTCTCTTAAAATTAAAACAATGCACCGGCGCGAGTAAATTTCGATGTTTGAGTTGCGAACCGTCGCCGCTCGCGTACGGACCGCGACTAAACCACGTCGCGGCTATAGAGCTTCTCTGAACCGCTACCATGCAACACGAATTTTCCGTTACTACTACAATAGCTGGCCGGCTGGCGAGCGTGTGTCTGGCTACCAGTGTTTGACTATAAGACGACCGCGGTCGCTTATCAGTGTGTGGTAGAAATGGCTATTAAAGCGAACCGTCTCTGGGTGGGTGGCCGTTCGGTTTGCGTCCGTACGTACTTCCGCCAGTGTACTGCCGTGTAGAGCTAGAGCAGCCTAGAGTCTCCAAGGAGAATTATTATATAGTCGGTATAGCGTAGCATGCGTAAGAGTGGAGAGAAACCGAAGTCGTGACAGTATTTCAGAGTATCCTTTCGTGTCTCGAATGTTGCCTGAAACACTGCGACCGTCGAGATAGTCACGCGCGATTTCCCCGCAAATTCACGCGAACAATGTAATCCGTCTTGTTCTCTAAATGAGATTGAGTAAGAAGACAGGAAAAATTTCTCTTTTGTCTCTTCGAGAAAGAGAGAGAGAGAGAGAGAAAAAGGCGAGGGGAAAATAATAAATGTTGATAAAACGTTAAATAATAGTTAATAAGATGTGTCTAATATGGCCAAGACTTCATATCTTCTTCAACTAATAATTAAAATGATTACATATCCAACCTTCTCTCTGCGACAACAGATACAAATTTGTCTTTAAATAACAACTTCTGTTTGTCGTAAATGCCGTAGAACGCGAATGAATAAAGAAGCCTCTTTTTTCAATTTATCGCAAAGAGTTTTTAGTAAATTTTTTTTATATTGAGTCATAATTGTGTATCCGGAAAAATTTTTTCGTTGAACTTTTAAACTTTAAATGCACTCATGCATACACTTTCATTGAGATCGTCTTGACTGCATCCTTTCGTCATACAAAAATTACGAGACGTCGCATTCGCGCGGTCCTTGAAGATTTTCGCTGAGCTAACTGTAGCGTGCGAGAGCGTTCTTCTCAGTCTCACTTTGGTCCGTGATACGACCGGGTCTGGACCCCCACTAATCAGTCTGTCTGGAAGAATGAGATTCCCTCTCTCTTGTAAGACGTTCTACAACACGTCTCAAATTTTAAGTCAAGGACTACAGACGTCCTTATAAAAAAGTACATTTCCATATTCGACCATTTTTATTTTTTATAACAATACAAATATTGGTTATCTTAAAGTAGATTTATTGATGCGATAAACTATGAAATTAGAATTAATATATAAAGTCTTTAGTTTAGTAGAAATGTTTATTGTTTTGTTGTTTTCAATATTATTGTTATATTATAAAAATTACTATATAATTAAGCCTATTCGCGAATCCGGACATTTTTTTAATTACGCGACAAATCTCCAGATAGCATTGTGAAAAATTGTTTATTTACTTGTTTTTCATTACTTTACATAATCTTATTTCTTGGATTTTTAGCTTTAAAATAAAAAAAGTGTTCAATTAATTTTAAGCAAACAATTAATTTCAATTTTATTAATTGAGTACTCTGAACACGCAAATACTGGTTAAGGAAATTTCGGAATACGTACCGATTAGATATCATATTTTTATTATATATTGTCATATGTTGTTCTCACCGATATTTGACTTGTATTGTTCGTGTTAATTAATCTTTGAAAATAACTAAACAATTATAATTTTATCCTTTTTATTTTAACTTAATTACATTTTTAATTGCATACGTTTTTTGTGGTGCTGTGATGCAGAGTAAAGCATTTATTGATTATGCAAAAAATGTTTGCAATGTTTTCAAGTTATCGATAATATTTTATAATAAGAGATCCTTGTATGATTATTATTAATGAATGATTATTATTGATGATTATTATTAATGAAGATAAATTAAGCAGTATTTACTCGGAGAACGTTAGAACGCACCTTTGTGACCAGAAAAAAAAACTGTTATGCGTCTCATGCATAAACACATAAATTTACTTTGACCTGATATTTTTCTAATCTTTTTGATCTTTGAGACTTCTTCTTAAAATAGCGACCAATAATGACTTCTTAAAGTAGCGATCAATAATGTGTTTTTGCACAGAAGCAACTTATGATAAATGAATCCTCGTAAACATAAATTTAAAATAAATGAAAGTCATCAAGTATTATTTCTATATTGATTCGCTTAAATCTAAAACTTTACAACTCACTGTGAAATATTTAACTCTGAAAAATTGGAGTTAAATATAACGATTAAAGTAACACGCTTGCTACATATGCGAGTAATGAAAAATTCTGTCTTATTATCTACAAGTTTATTCAGATGTTCATTAAGGATGTCAATGTCAAGAAGTAGAGTTTTTTGTTACTTCAATAAGATAATTTTTTTCAAGTTCCTGTAATATTATAGATTCTTTAACCTTGCATTCTAATAATTTAAACATATGCTTCATAGTAAGCTAAAGTTAATATTTACAATATTACGTTTCTCAAGTGCGGATCAAAAGTCATCATGGACGTGATGATAAGTATTAATTTTTATCAAGAGGAAATAAGATAAAATATCTTAGAACTTCGTAAAAGTTCTGTTGTAATGATTTTAAAGTTCAAGGGCGGAGGCTTGCTTATGGAAATAGTATAAATTAGTTTTCCACACCTAGAATTCGGGGTATTTAAAAAAAATATTTTAATTTTTAAGAAATTTTGAGTAATTTGCCAAAATCAAGCAATATTTGATAAAAATTCAGGCTTAAAAGAAATAAATCAAATAAATAGAAATAAAGCCAATGTAAGTCGACACAGGATGAACGTGTGTTAAAAATGCATACCTATATATTAGATAAGACAATAAACGTTTCGACTCCTGTTTAAGCCCTCCTCAGTATAACGAATATAAACGTAAAAAAACATTACTTTATACATATTTCAGTTATACTAATTAGTGTTGCAAAGAATGAGGCGTAGTCAATTATCAGTTATCTAAAATTAAAACCGTCGTCGCTTTTTAAGTGTTTGGAAAAACATTTAAGTAGCGAAGTCAAACAGATTAAAATTTTTTAATAAAATTAATACGGACGGCAAATATACTAAAATTAGAACTTGGAAATTAAAATCACTTACAATAAAATGCTGTTAAAGTCTTGATAAAGTGACAGGCCTTAGTATGACGTGTGTAACGTGCAAATTACAGTGAACTTGTGAGAGTCAATATCGCCGAAGAGACATATAAATATCTGTTATAATATAAAATATAAATAAATAAAATGAAATTAAATAAAGCATGGAAGCATTAAGATGTCCCGAGTACGTCACAATATAACGTGTTTGACTAGGCTGCACGCTATACACATATATGTAGAAAATATATTCCGCACATATAACAAAAGAGATAAAATATTTAAATATTTGTGTATTTTTAAAACCACACTCTCTCTCCCTCTTCGGATGAGGTATTCCCCATCCAAAAGGTCGAAAGTCTCCCTGAAAGTTAATATAGTCTCCTTGAAGTTAATATATTTCAATAAAAATAATTTATTCAAACCTATTCCTGGACGACTATTTCACAGTACGAGTTTCACTGTTTAAACATTTTACGAATTTGGCATAAATTAAGAGGCTCTTTCTTCATGCGAAAGTGATCAATAAAAAAAAATTTGAGATTTTCTAAGGTCGTTCGCGTTATTTGGAACGAAAAATATTGACGTACTTAAAAAGTATTCTTAAAAAGATAATATGATGCAGACAAAATTGACCAATAAAACACTTTCTTTCTTATAGTATAGTCGCGTCACCACGGAATAAAAAATAGTGGCTTATATATGTTAAAAGTCGACAGGTAAGTTAATAATTTAAAAATATGTCGGTGAAAAAATTAATTTTAATTTTTGTTAAATTTCAATTTCGATAATTTTACGATGAGGATTTAGCCTGACATTTCGATATAGAATATTATTTATTCGTTTACATATTTTGATATGAGTTTAATTATCAAAGTTAAATTACTAAATAATAGGATTTAAATCTTTCAAATCTTCAAATTTTGAGATCGTTTAATTAAATTACAATCAATGATCGAGTATTTTATTGAATATACGTATGTGTAAGTTAATTTACAGTATTATGTAATTAATTAAAGGAATTATCATATAAAATTAGCTTTAGACATTTTTGCATGCAATTTATATCTCGTTAAAACTAATATTTGTTTTGAACGATTAACATGTATTTATGTAAATTATACATGTGTGTTAAAATTGATATATATGAACTTGAAATTTATTAATAAACGTAATATTATCAGTAAATAGTATCAAATACTTCAAATTCAAGATGTATGTACTTGTTATACAAACGAATAATAATTTATTTTAAAGTCAAAAAAGTATATTGATTGATTTGACAATTGAAAAACTGTTTAAAAATATGATTAAAATCATGTTAATTATTCACATTGATACAAATTTTGATTAATTTATTCGATTCTATAATATATTAATTTTAGTATAATATGTTATACATTTAAGTATTGATATGCTTAGATATTCGTTATTATCAAACTGACCTTCTCTGTTGTATATATTTTTTAGCGCCAGCGATAAGTACTCACATGTTTGGCTCAATGAAGATATGTCGTGATGTCTGTTATGGCAATTTTTTAAATAACATAAAATAATAACGTTGCATGAAATTGTAATTACATGAAACGTTGAGCGACACGTCGCAGAGTCTACCTTTTAGATACTGACATTTTAATCGGCAACGAGTCATAGGTCTACTTGATAAGCTATATTCGTCTTGTGATTACAGAATGATTTTACACTTCTTGGACAAATAACAGTGATTAAGCACTTTTAATCACTGTGCTTATACAAGGTGTCTTGTTTTAAATAACGTAATTAATTTTCTTTGAAATTATTGATGATACAAAAAAATGTTTTAAATAAAAGTAACACGATTTTGAGAGGGACGTATTTTGGTTGAGTTACTTTTTTTCTAGGTAAAAGTGTTAAAAAGATACGAAGATTTTCTCGACTTTTAAAAATAAAATTATATAATTTTGTTTAAATTAGTACAATAAAGGAGCTGTTGAGTCAAGCTGGATGTACACTCGCTCACTAAAAGGTTGCGACACTTTCTTTTTTATAGGTTTCAAAACGTATTAATATTTTGCAAATGCGGACCACGATTGGTGTTATATTGCTTTTAGACTAAAGATAGTAGATCGTGGTTTGCATTTGCAAAATATTAGTTATCTATAAAGTATATATTACGTATATTAAATATAAATTAGAAACCTATAA